TTGGTAACAGAGATCCTTATATACAAGTACAGGCAACTGATTTTTAAAATATTTTTTAATCCTCACCTGAGAATATTTTTCCATTTTATTTTCAGGGTGAGAGGAAGAGAGAGAGAGAAACATTGATGTGAGAGAGACACATCGATTGGTTGCCTCCCACATGACCCTGACCAGGTCCAGGGGCGGAACCACAACCGAGGTACAAGCCCTTAACTGGAATCGAATCTGCAACTCTCTGATCCGAGAGCCAACACTCCAACCGCTGAGCCAAAACAGCCAGGGCAGCAAATGATTTGTTTAAAAGTCACTTTGGAGCAGAAAAGGTAGGTAATTACAATGATTATTGGTTTTTTTTTGTAAATCAATCCAAATTTTATTTATATATATATATATATATATATATATATATATATATATATATTGAGATTTGCAAAAAAATTAATACTTTTTTTGGTGTGCTGCAGAATTTTAGTGACTAGTTTATGTATGTCATAAGATGAAAAAGGCTGAAAATCACTGGCATGGAGGAATACTTCAAACATTTACAAAAGAAAAGTCTAACATCAATGAACTATACTTCTACCTTAAAAAAATAGAAAAAGAATTCAAAAAGTAGAAAAAGGAAATAATAAAGATAATATCAGAAATCAATAAAATAAAACACATCGAATGGTTGCCTCCCACACAACTCTGACCAGGGCCAGGGACAAACCGAAACCAAGGTACGTGCCCTTGGCCAGAATTGAACCTGCGACTCTTTATTCTGTGGGCCGACGCTCTAACCACTGAGAAAACCGGCCAGGGCAGGAATATTCCTTTTAAAGACTTTATGCCAATAAATATGACAAACAGGTGAAGTAAGAAAAAAATCCTTGAAAAATACAACTACCCACAACTAAGTCAAGAAAAAACAGTAAACCTGAAAAGAAACATATCAATAAGAAATTAAATTAGTTTAAAACACTCCACAAAAATTTCCAGACCCATGAATTCAGTAGTTAATTCTATCAAACTTGTAAGGAAGGAACAATATCAAACCTATATAAAATCTTTTAGAAAATACACCAGGAGGGAACAATTTTCTATTCATTTTATGAAACCAACATTACCCTGATACTAAAATCAAACAAAGACATTATAAGAAAACTTCAAACAATACCTCTCATTAACATAAATATAATAATCTTTAAAATAGAAATATATAACAATATCAAGTAGATTATATCCCAGGAATATAAAATCATTTTAGCTTTTGAAAATCAATCAACAAAGTTCATCATATGAACAGAATGTAAAAGAAAAACCATATGATAATCTCATAGGTCCATAAAAATATTTGACAAAATTCAAAAGCCTTTTGATAAAAACTCTTAGAAACTAAAGACAAGAGGTAACCTTTCTAAACCTGACAAAGCGCATCTTCAAAAAACTAAAAGCTAACATCTTACTCAATGGCTAAAGAAAATGGTGTTTCTATGATAAGCAGCAACACAACAATGCCCATTTTCATACTACTACTCATTATTATAATGGTGCTAAAGTAAAAAAAATAAAATAAAAGGAATATATGTTTCAGACTTTGCCTTTGCCAAGATTGAACAGAGAATGGATTTATCCTCCTGCCTGAAACAACTGAAAAACTGTACAAAATATAAGAACAGGAGTTCTCATAACAGCAGACATCAGGCAATGAAGGAAAGTGATCATTTAGAGATAGGGCACTAGGTTACTTCCTGAATAGATTTTCCAGGCATGGTAGAGAGCATCAGTTTCCCTGAGATGAGAAAACAGAGCTGGGAATCTAGAAGGGCCAAGGCTGGTTGGGTTTGCAGGGAAGAGTACTAGAGACAAGCTGGAACACAAAAATATCCATCACCGGACAAGATAGACTTTACAATGTCTGACACACAATAAAAAATTACAAGGCTATCTACAAAAAAAACCCCACTACTTTAAATACAGAACTATATTATGGTATATAAAAATCTACCATACTGCCCTGGCCGGTTTGGTTCAGTGGTCAGCGCGTCCGCCAGTGGTCAAGGGCACATATGTCGGTTTCGGTTCATCCCCAGCCCTGGTAGGGTTGTGCGGGAGGCAACCAGTAGATGTGTCCTTCTCACGCGCTCTCTCTCTCTCTCTCTCTCTCTCTCTCTCTCTCTCCCTCCCTCCCTCCCTCCCACTCTATCTGAAGATAAATAGAAAAATATCCTTGGGTGAGGATTTAAAAAAAAATCTACCATACTAACATTGATCAAAAGAAATCTGGAATAGCTATATTAATATTGAAGTAGGTTTCAGATCAAACAGTATTATCAAAGATACAAAATGTTACTTTATAATGAAAACAGGGTCAAATAATCAAGAGAATATGACAAACCTATATGGTTTTGCATATAGTAACAGAACTTCAAACAACATGAAACAAAAAGTGATAAAACTTTAAGGAAAAATTGACAACTCTCTGCTTATAGTTGGAAATGTCAACTCCTCTGTTTCAATAGTGATAGAAAAAGTGGATAGAAAATCATTAAAGCTGTAGAAGACCGGAACAATATTATCTACCCATTTCATTTAATTGAAATCAATTGATACTATTTAAAAGTCTCTAAATATTTGGAAACTAAATAACACACTTCTAAATAACCCATTGGTCAAAGGAGAAATAAAAATGGAAATTAGAAAGTATTTTGAATGGAATGAAAATGAAAACACAACATATCAAAATGTGTGGGAAGCAGTTAAATCAAGATTTAGAGGGATATTTATGTATAATATAGTATATATACTAGAAAAGAAGAAAGGTCTCATATCAGTTATCTCAGCTTTCATTTTAAGAATCTAGAAAAAAATAGCCAATGAAACCCATAGTAAGCAGAAAATAGAAAATAATAAACATCAAAGAAGCAATGAAAAACAAAAACAACAGGAAAATAAACAAAACTAAAAGCTAGTTTTTTGAGGAGATAAAGAAAATTTATAAAACTATATAGTCAGACTGATGAGAAAGAGAGAGAAAAGATGAAAATTACCAATTTCAAGAATAAGAGAAGTTAAATCGCTACAGATATTAAAAGGATAATACGACCACTTTATACCTATAAACTTAATGGAAATAAAAAATTCCTTGAAAGGCACAAACTACTAATATTCGTGAAAAAAATAGTTAACTTGAAAAACCTTCAACAAAATTAACTTTCAGCATTGATGGATTTTCTTGGGATTACAAAGAGGTATGATGACATCGGGAGGGGGAGGGGCAGTTGATGGACTATCTTCATTATTTTGATAGCAGTGATAGTTTCATGGATATATCTATATATACATATATGTCAATACTTATCAAATTGTATAATTTAAATATGTGTAGATCATTGCCTGTTAGTTATACCTTTAAAAAGCTGTTAAAATAACCACAAATTATATCATTTATAAAACCGTTATAGATTTGATGAAAAATCTTAGATGATCATTTAAAAATATGAGTAAAGTTAAAAATATTTAAAAACAGCCTCAGTCCCTTCTGCAAAACCAGGGTGCCTCTCCTAATTCTGGAACAGCTGCTTCTTCTGACAAACATGGTTTAACATCTTTTCTTCAGCAGGTTGGACCAATCTGTATAATGCCAGTCTATAAATAGCCTTCTCACAACAAACGAGAGTTTCATAATAAACATAAATTCCTTTGATGTATTATAGCTTAACTCATGACTTCCACTTTTGCCCCCTTTGCTATTATAATGGTCACATATTTTCTTTAACCTAACAACTGCCAAAGACTAGGTATCTGGATTAGCAACACTCACCAGCTGGTCAGGGTTTACGGTGATTCCGCTGACTCAGTTTGCAGCTGGTGTATCCTGAAGTATCTTTGAAAATGAAGACCTCACCAAGGAATCTGCTTCTCCCCAGCATTTACTATTCAAAGACTTTTCAGAGGCTTTCATGGATATTATAATAAGCCACAGATTTTCAAAACAGATAACTCAAATTTTGAAGGTAATTTCTGGGCACAGTGCAAAAATGTGTGTGCTTACTGTAGGAAAATAAAAAGACATCTTCATTCTCAAGTTCCCTATATTATATATATACCTATGTGGAAAATGTTCCCTAAAGGAGCATTTAAAATATTAATTAAACATTTTTTTAAATGTACTGATTGATTTTGAGAGAGAGAGGAAGAAAGGGGGGGAGAGAATGAATGAAAGAGAGAGGAACATAGATTTGTTTTTCCACTTATTTGTGCATTCATTGGTTGATTCTCGTATGTGCCCTGACCAGGGACTGAACCCACAACCTTGGTGTATTGGGATAACGCTCTAACCAACTGAGCTACCTGGCCACAATTAAAATATTAATTTTTAGCCCTGGCCAGTTTGGCTCAGCGGTTAGAGCGTCGGCCTGCGGTCCGGAGAGACCCGGGTTCGGTTCCCGCTAAGGGCACGTACTTCGGTTGCAGTTTGATCCCGGCCCTGGTTGGTCGTGCGGGTGGCAGCCACTCGATGTGTCCCTTCACGTCGATGTTTCTCTCTCTCTCTTCCTCTCTCTCCCTCCCACTCTATCTGTACAAAAAATGGAAAAATATCCTCGGGTGAGGATAAAAAAAAAAAAAAATATTAATTTTTATATTGTGTTTACTCTAACATAATTAAGGCTCATAATAGCACATGTGTGTGTTTTGTTTCATTTTCATGATCAATTTTCTAAGGTATGAAATGCTTCTTCAGGAATTAAGTTCTTATTTTTAATATTATGCCTATAGATTAGAAGGATTTTACTCACAAAGATTTGGCATTCAACTGTCAGACTGGAACCAAATTTGTACAGACTGATTCTGTTTAAGAGGAGATTCTATATAAACTCTAGGTGAGAACATTGCTGTACCTCCGTTTTCACATCAATAAAAAATTAAATTAATTCCAATATTCCTTCCAAACCACAGTGCTCAATTTATCATTTTCTAGATTAATACCTCTGTGTTTAGAGGTTTCTCAGTCTTCACATTTCAGTTCTCATTCTTTCTTTGTATTTGCTTTTCACTGAACTTCCATTTCTTCTGCTGCATTTCACAAATACTCTCCTCCTGAATCCACCAGCTTTCTCTCCTCTCATATTCATTCCAGTTGTGAGATCGACAAATAGAAGAAATGGTAAAAATTACATTTTTTTCCTTTAATGGCATTACTTTGCATTAATGATATCATTAATCTTACCTTGTTGAAATAACCACACCAAGCCTAATCAAGTTTTATCCCCATATGCTAAAAACATGCGTTACGACTGACAGTATCACTAACATGAGTCACTAACCCTATCTGATTTCAAGATTTTTCAAAAGGCTATGATAATCCAGATAGTATGGTACTGGTGTAAAGATAGACAGATAAATAGAACAGAATAGTAGATATTTTAGACATACATCTATACATATACGGACACTCATTTTTGATAAAGGTACAAAGTAATTCAGGGAAGAAAGGATGGCTTTCAACAAATGATCCTGGAACACTTGGATAACTGTAAGCAAAAATATGAACTTGTCCTGGCTGGTGTGAGTCAGTTTGTTGGAGAATCATCCTGTGCACCAGAAGGTCACAGGTTCCATTCCTGGTCAGGGCACATTCCTAGGTTGCCGGTTCCATCCCCAGTTGGGAGCTCCTGAGAGAGGCATCCGCTTGATGTATCTCTCTCTTTCTCTTTCTTTTCCTCCCTCTCTAGAATCTATTATTTAAAAAACCAAAAAATAAAAAACTTCAGCCTACATCTCACACCATATACAGAAAAGAACTCAAAATGGATCATAGGCCTAAATATAGAACTTCAAACTATTTATCTTCCACCAAAACACTGGACAAATCTTTTGTGACTTTGAGTTAGGCAAAGGTTCTTAAATATGACATCAAAAATACACACTATCACAGAAAACAAAGGTTAACTAGAATTTCATCAAAATTAAGACCTACTTTTTTTTTTTTTTTTTTGGTTAATCCTCACCTGAGTATCTTTTTACATTGATTTTTTTAGAGACAGTGGAAGGGAGAGAGAGAGAGAAACATCGATGTAAGAAAGACACCTCCTCTGCCTCCCACGCAACCCTGACTGGGTCTGGCGATCGAACCTGCAACCCTTTGGTCTGCGGGCCAACACTCTAACCACTGAGCCAAACTAGTCAGGGCAATACCTCCTACTTTTTGAAGGATATCATTAAAAGAATAAAAAGCAATCCACAAAGTGAGAGATAACATTTGTCAATCATATATCTGATAAAGGACTTGTATCCAGAATATATAAATTACTCTAAAAAACTTAGTGATAACACAGTTTTACACTAAAAAATTGCCAAGAGATTTGAACAGTCTCTAAAGCAAAGAAAATATACAACTGATAAATAAGCACATGAACAGAAGCTCAGCATCAGGAAAAGGGAAATTAAAACCACAATGAGATAGTACAGCACAACTATTAGAATATGTAAAGCTTCAAAGACTGACCATACCAAGCCTTGGCCAGGATATAAAACAACTGAAACTCTCATATATACCTGGTGAGAATGTAAAATGTTGCAACCACTTTGGCAGTTTCTTAAGAAAGTCAGACATATACCCACCATGTGACCCAATCATTTCATTCCTAAGTATTTATCTAAGAAAAATGAGAGCATATCTTTTTTTTTTATCCTCACCCGAGGACAGTTTCCCATTTTTTGTTTAGAGTGGGGGGAGAGAGACGAAGAGAGAGAGAGAAACATCGACGTGCAAGGTACACATCGAGTGGCTGCCACCCGCATGACCCAACCAGGGCCGGGGACAAACTGCAACTGAGGTACGTGCCCTTAGCGGAAACCGAATCTGGGTCTCTCTGGACCGCAGGCCAACCCTTTAACCGTTGAACCAAACTGGCCAGGGCGAGAGCATATCTTTTTACAAAGACTTGTCAACAGATGTTCATAGATGCTTTATTTGTAACTGGAAAAAACCCCAAATGTCTAAATATGAATGGATAAACATATTATGTGGTGAGTGGATAAACAAATTGTGGCATATCCATACAACAGGATACTTACTGCTCAGCAGTGAAAGGGAGTGAATTATTGATACACACCACAGTGTGGATGAATCTCTAATTCAGGACCAGTTACATAATTTATGGGACATAGTGCAAAATAAAAATATAGGCCCCTTTGCTCATAAATTATTTTTAAAAAATTTTCCTTTATGGATTTTAGAGAGAGGGAGAGATAGATAGAAACACCAATGAGAGAGAACATTGATTGGCCACCTCCTGCATGCCCCCAAATGAAGATTGGGCCCACAATCTGGGCATGTGTCCTGACCGGTAACCTCTTGGTACATGGGTCGTCGCTCAACCACTGAGCCACACAGGCTGGACGCTCATAAATTATTAAGAATTCAAAGCAGTGGCCCATAGAGCATTAAACTAAGTGAGGGCCTTTTTAAGCACAGGATCCTGGGGGACTGCACAGGTCCCATGCCCATGAAGCTAGACCTGCTCAAAATAATTAATGAGTGAAATAAGCCAGACAGAAAAGAGTACATAATGTACATAAAATTGACATAAAATTATTTATATAAAATAATTGAAAATGCAAACTAATCTGTAGTGATAAAAGGCTGATCAGTGGTTGCCTGGGGACATTCAGAGGATGGGATGCAGTAGGAAGAAAGGATTAAAAAGTAGAACAGGGAAACTTTTAGGATGATGGATATATTCACTATTTTGATTGTGGCGAAGGTTTCAGAGGTGATACATATGTCAAAAATTATTAAATTATACATTTAAAATACATGCATTTTACTGTATGTCAACATTCCTCAATAAAGCTATTAGAATTGTAAAACACTGATAGACCTTTGAGAAGTCTTTTTAAAAATACAGTTCAGCCCTGGCCGGTTTGGCTCAGCGGTTAGAGTGTCAGCCTGCAGTCCAGAGAGACCCGGGTTCGGTTCCCGCTAAGGGCACATACCTCAGTTGCAGTTTGTCCCCAGCCCTGGTTTGGTCGTGTGGGTGGTAGCCACTTGATGTGTTCCTTTCACGTCGATGTTCTCTCTCTCTCTCTCCCTCCCTCCCTCCCTCCCTCCCTCCCACTCTATCTGAACAAAAAATGGAAAAATGAGGATAAAAAAAAAATTACAGTTCTGCCTTGGCTGGTTTGGCTCAGCAGTTAGAGCGTGGGCCCTCGGACCAAAGGGTCCCAGGTAAGGGCATGTACCTGGGTTGCAGGTTCAATCCCCAGTGCTGGTTGGGCTCAAGTGCGAGGCAACCAATCATGTGTCTCTTTCACATCGATGTTTCTCTCTCTTCCCTCTCTCCTTCTCTCTCTCTCCTACTCTATCTGAACAAAAAAGGAAAAATGTCCTTGTGTGAGGATTAAAAAAATAATAATAAATAAATGTAAATCAATGAAAAAATATCCTCAGGTGAGGATTAACAACAACAAAAACAAAAAACAAAATTGTTAAATATATAGTTCACAACCTCTGATATGCAATTCTTCCCCACAGACAAAACACACATAAGTGTAAGTTAAGTATAAACAGAAGACAATCTATAATTAACTGTTACAATGAATGACATTTTACCAGTACAAACTGTTTTAGCTGGGGAAAAATAAGCATCCAGTATGAGTTGGAGTGGTCAGGGAAAGCCAGTTGAAAGAACTGGTATTGAATGCAGCCGTGAAGAAAGAAGAAACAAGAAGGCGGCAAAATAGCAGTTTGGGTAGGATGATGAGAATGGAGAATTGGATTAGTTTATGTACAATGAATAGACCTGCTTGGATGGATCATAGTATTTTGGTGACGGGTACTTACTAAGAAATAATGTTCTATTGGCTGCCTTGGACTCAGGTTGTAGTAGGGAGCCCTGAAGGCAAACTAAGTAATCGGTTTTTATCCTAAATGCAAGGGCTAATCCATAGATTGATAACATAAAAGATGTTTTCAGAAGTCAAACCCTCTTTGCTTTCAGGCTACCTACTTCAACTTTCTTTTCTCTACCTCAAAATATCTCCATCTCCAGTTCCTTTATACCTCTCTGAAAAATATTGTCTTATTGCTTTGAAACTTAATTTCTCCTATCTTTGTTCCTAATCCTTAACTCTCCAACAACTGGAGGGATATTGCTTCATAAAACAGTCTATTTTGTCTTGGCCAGTTTGGCTCAGCAGTTAGAACGCTGGCCTGTGGTCCAGAGAGACCCAGGTTCGGTTCCTGCTAGGGGCGTGTACCTTGGTTGCAGTCTGTTCCCAGCCCTGGCTGGTCGTGGGGGAGGCAGCCACTCGATGTATCCCTTTCACATCGATGTTTCTCTCTCTCTCTCTTCCTCTCTCTCCCTCCCACTCTATCTGAACAAAAAGTGGAAGGATGTCCTCAGGTAGGGATAAAAAAAAACAACAAAAAACAGTCTATTTCACACAGACAATCTCTCCCTATCTTACGACACCTTCACTTCAGCAAGTAAACAAAACATTTATTTATTTATTTATTTTACTATGTTAGTGTCTCAAGATATCTCCTTATTCATTCCCCTCTTCACAATGAAAGTGACCACCAACCTAGTTCTGGCTTTTATTACTTCTCTCCTAGACTATAAATCTCATTTCCTGAACCTCCCCCGCTCCCCCACTCCCCATAGCAATCTATTCAACACACTGTTGCCAAACCTTTGAAAAGAAGTTTCTTTAATATGATTTTACTTCTCACCAGTCTTCAGAAATTCACCACTGCCTTTTAAAATAGATGGAAGATGAAAGCAACATGAGTCCCAGATGGCATCAGAGTTCTGGATTTTGTGTGCAAACAAAACAAAACAAAACAAAACCTTATATGTATAAGCCATTGTTTGATAGATTTTCTTCTGCTCTCAGCAGAGTCTATTCTTAAATGATAGAGATATTAATGAACACTGATTTCATATCTCATAGCTCAAATTTCGTGAATTAAAAACTCTTCTTTCCACCTGGCCGGTGTGGCTCAGTGGTTGAGCATCAACCCATGCACCAAGAGGTTTCCGTTTGATTTCCTGTCAGGGCACATGCCCAGCTTGTGGGCCTAATCCCCAGTGGGGGGCATGCAGGAGGCGGCCGATGGATGTTCTCTCTCATCAATGTTTCTCTCTCTCTCTCTCTCTCTCAAATCAATGAAGAAAAACAAATATTAAAAAAAACAACAACACTCTTCTTTCCTAAAAAAAAGTAAATACATAAAATAGAGTGATTCTCAACATATTTCTAGTCTGTCTTCCCCTTAATACTTTTACAATGTAGTCCAACTGCACAATGCAGTGTTACTTTGGCTTGTTTTTCCTGCTCCCGTGTTCATGGCGAGCCCGTAGCTCGCAACAACCTCTTGCAGTTTGTCTGCTGGAATCATACTCATTCTTCAACTAGTCCAGTGATTTCTTGCATGAAGCAAGACTTTCTGAGCCCCAAATAAGTCACACTTTCTGAAAGCTTTTTAACTGCCATAGCACTTTGCCGTTCACTTTTACAATGTATTTTACTCTGCACTGATAGCAGAATATGGACTTTGGAGTCAGGCAGAACTTCAAAATCACTACCTATTTGACCTTGGGCAAGTTTTTTAATTTCTCCAGACTTCAATGACCCAATCTGTAAAATGTGAATACTAATACCTACCTATAAAGATTGTTGTGTGGATTAAATCAGCTGAAGTGCCTGGCATAAAAGAGGTGGTTTGTTACTAACATATTTTGGAACACATGTATATGACTTTCTTATCTATTATAAAGTACTGTTAACATCATGAGGACAAGCCCTATTTTTCATTCATTTTGGAATTACCTGTTTGTACATAGTGCATAGTAATTTATTTACCTTTTAAAGAGAAGATTTTACAAGTCTGTTAGCATGTTATTCTTAAGATATTTAAAAGTTTTTGTTTTTTGTTTTTTCAAAATGTCACTTTCAGCCCTAGCTGGTTGGGCATTGTCCCATACAACAAAAGATTGTGGGTTCGATTCCCAGCCAGGGCACATACCTAGGTTGCGAGCTTGATGTCCAGTACCAGGCGTGCAGGAGGCAGCCGATTGATGTTTCTCTCTCACATTGATGTTTTTATCCCTCGTTCCCTTCCTCTCTCTAAAAAATCAATAAACAATATATTTAAAAAATAAATTAAAAAACATACCTATTGTAAAAATGAGTTGCTTCATGTCATATTCAATGGTTTAAAGGAATAATTGGAAGATAAACTATTAATTGCAACATACAAGCCCATTCTGCTACAGTATGTGGGATTTACATTAAATATAGCAATAATGTTGTAAATTTTACACTTTAAAATATTTATTATTCATACTTTAAAATCAACTCTATGTAATAATTTATACACAAAGAAATGCATCCACTTTATGTGTTTAGTATGATGAGATTTGACAAATATATATACCCATGTAACACCACAATCAATGAATAGAACACTTACATTACTCCAAAAGGATTCCTGTGTCTATTCCAAGTCTATTCTACCCATACACATATCCCCAGCCCCAGGCAACAACTTCTGTTTTTTGTCATTACAGATTTTCCTTTTGTAGAGTTTCATATAAATCTAATCATACACTATATGATTATATTTTTTCTGTCTGTCTTCTTTTGCTCAGCTAAAGTTTATGAGATTCATTGGTATTGTATGTACAGTAGTGAGTTCTCTTCCATTGCTGAGTAACATTTCATTGTATAAGTACACTACAATTTATGTATCCATTCACATATTGATGGATTATTTTCAGCTTGGGGTTACTATGAATAAAACTGTTATGAACAGCCTGGCTGGTGTGGCTCAGTGGTTGAGCATTGACCCATGCACCAAGAGGTTGCCGGTTTGGTTCCCAGTCAGGGCACATGCCCAGGATGTGAGCCCAATCCCCTGTGGGGGGCATGCAGGAGGCAGCCAGTTGATATTCTCTCTCTTTGATGTTTCTGTCTCTCTCTCCCTCTCCCTTCCTCGCTCTATAAAATCAATAAAGAAAAAAATATTTTTAAAAGAACAACCGAAAAAACTGCTGTGAACATTTGTGTCCAAGTCTTTGCGTGGATCTGTTTTCTTTCTCTGGAATAAATACCTAGGAATGAAATTGCTGGGTCACATGGTAAGTGCATGTTGATATTTTTAAGAAATTGCCAAATAGTTTTTCCAAAGTTGTATCTCCTTAGCCATGTATGAATGAGAATGCTAATTGCTCCACATCTTGCCAACATTTAAGAATATTAGATGTAGTGATATCTCAGTGTGGATTTAACTTGTATTTCCCTAATGACTAAGACTGGGGATCTTTGCATGTGCTATTGTTATTTCTATATCTTCTCTGTGAAGTATCTATTTCAAATTTTTTGCTCATTAAAAATAATCAGGTTTTTGTATTATTGAGTTGTAAGGATTCTTTATCAATAGTATTCTGGATACAAATTCCTTGTTAGATACATTGTGAATAACCACTTTTTACATGGTGTCTTTGAGATAACAAAAGTTTTACATTTTGATGAAGTTCCAAATCTGTCTTTTCTTTTCTGATTAATGCCTTTTTTTTGGGTCATTGTATCTTTGCCTTCCTCAAGGTCCCAAAGATTGTTTTCTTCTAGAATTTTACAGTTTTAGCTTTTATGATAAGGTCTATGATCCATATCAAAGTAATACTTGTCTATGGTGCAATGGAAGGATCAAGTTTCATTTTGTGTGTGTGTGGATATCCAGTTGTATCAACACCAGTTGTTGAAAATACTTACCTTGATATCTGTTGAAAATCAGTTGACATATGGGTCCCAACTGTAATCTGTTTCATTGATCTATATGTTTATCCTTATGCCTACCTACTACACTGTCCAAAGGTTTGGAAACAGGTATGCATGTGCTCCAACTTTGTTCTTCCTATGCATGCACTTCTGTATAAATTTGAGTCACCTAGTCAAATTAAAATTTCTTCTTCTGGGATATCGGGATAACTGACAATTTTAACAATCCTGAGTCTTCTAATTCATGAGCATGGAATAGCTATTTACTTAGGTCTTTAGTTTCTCTTGGCAGTGATTTATAGGGTTCAGTGTGTAGGTCTTGTACATGTTTTGTTAAATTTATCACTACCCATTTCATGTTTTAGGATGCTGATGAGCATTATATGGTTTTTTTATTTTCAATTTCAATTTCCAATTGTTCTTTTTTACTATGTAGAGAATGATTGATTGTTACACTGACCTTGTATCCTGCAACCAGTCCCTGTAACTGTTTTGTAGATTCCTTAGGGTTTTCTAATTACACAATGTTGTCATTTGCAAATAGTTTCATTTCTCCCTTTCCAATTTAAATGCCTTAAAAAAACAGTAGTCCATAGTGTTCATCAAATTTGAACCATTTTGAACTATTATTTCTTCCCCAGCGCACCTCAAACCTGCCATCCTCCTTTTCCCCCTTCCCCTACTGGAATGTCTTCCTCAAATTTATCTGAATTCTCTGGAGCAGGCTGGTAGTGCTGCCTAGGCATTGGCTGAGAGCCTGGATTTCAACCCTGTGAGGTGCCCTCTCCAACTCTCTCCTTCACAAGAGGATGACCCCATATCCTGAGAAGCTCCCAGACCCGGGTCTCTGTAGCCATCAGGTGGGCGTCCCCTGACTACGGCCAGGCTCGAGTTGCAGTAGGAAGGCCTCAGAAACAGATTGCTTCTATTGGCTTTTGCAGAATTTCTTTCACTGGATCAATGGAGTTCAGAAATTGCCAGAAAAGTGCTAATGTGCTGATTTGGGGTAAGTCAGAGTGTTTCAGGTCTGAAGGTGGTTTACACGGATATTTCACTTAAATATTACAGCAACCACATGAGGTAGGTTTTTTAATTCTTCCCTTTTAGAAAACTGAGGCATAGAGAGGTTTACTTGCCACGTTCACATAGCTAATAAGACTGGTGGAGCCAGAAATTTGGGGGTTGAATGTCAGTACTCTGACACCAGAACCTGCCTTCTTAACTGTGTGCTTTAAGGGAAAATAGATAAGAGCTATTAGGACAAAGCGTGGGTATTTGGAGGAAGACTTTTATTTTATTTTATTTTATTTTATTTTTTATCCTCACCTGAGACATTTTTCCATTTCTTGTTCAGATAGAGTGGGAGGGAGAGAGGGAGAGAGGGAGAGAGGGAGAGAGAGAAACATTGACATGAAAGGGACACATCGAGTGGTCACCACCCGCACGACCCAACCACCAGGACCGGGGACAAACCGCAACCAAGGCACGCACCCCTAGTGGGAACTGAACCCAGGTCTCTCTGGACCACAGGCCAATGCTCTAACCACTAAGCCAAACCAGCCAGGGCAGACTATTATTAAAAAAAAAAAAAATTTTATCCTCCCCCTAGGACACATTTTGCATTCATCTTCAGATAGAGCGAGAGGGAGAGAGGAAGAGAGAGAGAGAAACATCGATGTAAGAGAGACATATCTACTGGCTGCCACCCACACAACCCCAACCACGTGAAGACATATTGCAACCCTTAGCTGGAACCAACTGGGTCTCTCTGGACTGTGGGCCCACGCTCTAACCACTGACCCAAACCGGCCAGGACTTAATTTTTTTTCTTTATTGGTTTTTTAGAGAGAGGAAAGGAGAGGGAGAGAGAGAGAAACATCAATGAGAGAGAACATGGATTGGCTGCCTCCTGCATGCCCCCCCTGGGGATCGGGCCCACAACCTGGGCATGTGTTCTGACCGGGAATCCAACTGGGGACCGCATGGTGCATGGGCACGCTCAAGCACTGAGCCACACCTGCCGGACAAGACTATTTTTTTTTTTAAAGGAAAGCTATGGCGTGGAGAACAGTGGGATACTAACTTTCCTGTGAAAAAGGGTTCTTTTTAGCCCTAAGTCTGTGGATAGTCTGTATCTATTTAAACGTTCCTCCTTTGGTATCTTGTCATGTCCTATTTCCTCCAGCTTCCTATAACACCCGCCATTCTGTGCATTGAAATTAATGTCCTTTAGAACACCTGGCTCCATGGAATCCACACAAGTGGGCCAAATTCTATTCCATTCCCGCCATCCATGCCCCACAGGCCAGAAGTTAAGTGGACACTGGGGTTAAGTGGACACTTCTTCCCCAAAAGGTCTTCAGAGTAAGTCTTTGGCGAGAGGATCCCAGTACGCGCATCCGCACCCAGAAACTACCTTCTGAAAGGGTGGCTGGGCGGGCGGGGCTAAGCCCAGGTGAGTCTGTCTGTCGGGACTGAATCCCCAGCAAGGCACACGTCGCTGGGGCACACGTCGCTGGGGCACACGTCGCTAGGGCACACGATGTCTGGGGCGTCTTTTTGAGAGGAGGTTCCTTAAGACAGCGAGAAGGACAGGTTTTCCGCGGGAGCCTCGAAATCGGACCCCGGGAATCGCGGGAGCCGGAGCTCCCGCGCCCCGGGCGGGGCAGCCGGGTCTCCGCCTCGCGCGCGCTCACGAGGGCCGGGGGCGGGGCGCGCGGGGTGCTGGCCGGGGGCGCCCGCTCCTCCCCCGCGAGCGGCCGGGCAGGCGGCGCCGAGCCCCCTGCGCGCGGCACATGGGGCGCTTGACCGAGGCGGCGGCAGCGGGCAGCGGCGCTTCAGCGGCGCGCTCGGCAGGCCCCCCGCACACTCCCCTCACCCTCTCGGCCACCCACCCCGGCTGCGCCGCCACCATGGCGTTCAGCGAGGAGGACGGCACCAACAGCGGCACCTCGGAGGCCGGCGAGGACAGGGAGGCCCTCGGCAAGAGGAGGCGTCTGGGCTGGGCGGCTACCACCTGGCTCACCTTCTACAACATCGCCATGACCGCGGGGTACGTGCGCCCCGAAGGTCCCCGCTCTCCCGCAGGCCGTCCCCGCGCTGCTGTTCCCCAGCACTCCGCGCCCTGGGTGACGGGGGCCGCCGGGCTCTGGGGCGCGCGGGTGGGCATGTGGGGTGCGGGCGGCGCAGGGGTCGCGGCGCGGGGGCGCGGGCAGAGGCCGCGGGGGCCGCGGGCAGAGGCCGTGGGGGAGGGGCGCGGGCGCCGCAGCCGCCGGCGGGTTGAATGGAACTGGGCGGGGGATCGGGCCCTGCTCACCGGGCATTGCCTAATACGGTGCACAGCGTGGCGCGGCGGCCGCGGGGCGCGGGCCGGAGGTTAAGTATAGACCGGGGCAGGAATGCGGGGCCGACCCGCGGGGAGGCCGCCTCGGCCCAACCGCCCCGGGCGCCGCCGCTGCCACTACTCTTGAAGAAACGCCCGGGTCCAGCCACCCAGGAGCCCGGAGCTGTCCCGCCGGTGGCCTAACCAGCTTTTCCGGCCGCCGGCCCCTAGAGTGCATTTCCTCCTGTTGCGGATCGCTGGGGCAGAGTTGTCTTCACTGCTAATGTCACCACGATTTTTTTTTAAGCAGTAGTACTCCCTAGAGCTTCTTACTTGGTACGATTTAAAACAAAGAAAACCAAAAACACCGCCTTATTGGAGCGTGTCACTCGTGTCCAGCATCTTTATGGCCCCTTGCTCCATTACTGATACCCTGTACTTGTGTTTCTGCCTTTGGGTTTGACACGTTAAGGTTACACAATGACTATCGCTCTTCAGAAAGCTGTCAAAGTGACTTCTGTGTAGACTGCTTTTCAAAAGCTGTTAAGAACATGCTCTTCCATTTCTAAATTGCATTGCCTTTAGAAAGAAGTTATTTTCCATATGGCCTGAATCTAATTAACCTATATAAATGTGGGGGAAGTTTAAGAAGCTTTTATAGAAAGTTTATAGGGAAGTGATTGGCAAAGATTTAGTAAAGGATTTGACACAGTAGTGGGTACCTATTATATGTTTAGTGTATAATCCTGAATACCAAATACACTTCATAAGAAATATAGTATCTATTGAGGATTTACTATGTGCCAGGCACTGTGTTAGTACAATATCATTTTTAGTCCTCTACAATCCTGTGAGGTATGTTATATTTGATAGATTAAGAAACTGAAGCAGAAAGAAGTAGTTTGCTCACATCACACAATCACCGATTGTCAGACTTGGACTTCAGCCTATCATTACTACATAAAGCCACATACAGATGCCTACTAGTTGTTTCCTTTAAGAGGAAAAGAAATCAAACTATTGTTTTTTTATTTATTCAGAAAAAATAAAAAGGAAAATACTTCTGATATTAAATGAATTCTTTCTCATCTGCTATCTAGAAGTCACGAACACCTGACTTATTCTAGCCATTCTGTAGAGGTGAGGAAAGAAAATGTCTGGCTGTCAGTGGGACACTCACAACACCCGAGTGAGGTCCAGAGTAATCCCAGATCAGGGGATGTCAATGTTGAGTACTTAGACTTCCACCCTTTCTCCAGGGCCCAAGTCTGACTCCAGAGCGATGTTTCTTTTTCACCTTGCCATTTTACTAAATTATGATCTTGAAAGTGGAAAACATATATTCAAAGCAACCTGAGAACAACAACAGAGCCCTACATACTGCTGCCTTTAAATGTAGTGGAGATTGAAAGAATTCTCTTTCTGTGATAGACTTATCCAGTTAATAAACATTTTTTGGGACACCTGGCGTCTGCTGTCTCTTCTTTTTCCAGTCCAGCTTTTCTTTAGAAGGCCAAGTTAGCTTCTAAAAAATGGAAGTCAATGCGTAACTCTAGTTTAAAGCCTTAAGTGACTCACCATTATCTTCACCGTAATCGAAGGTATTAGGCTGTATGTCATTCAAGGCCCTTTGCAGTATGCTTCTGTATTTCCCTTTTTAGTTTTATTGCATTTGAAATTCCCTTTAATGCATGATGCTCTCAAAGCGCCATGCATTTTCATTTTCATGGCTCTCTTCATCTTTGCTCAGGCTGTTCTTTCTGTGTCTAATATCCCCCATATACCTCCCATGACTTCTGAACAAGCCATTCTCTTGCCAGACCCGGAGCAGAATTAAACGCTCTTTTCTTTGTGTTCTCACACTTCATTGCTCTCCTCTCTACCTGTTCCAGCAAATTACTGCTTGTCTGAAACTTGTCTTCCTCCCTGCCTGTCGTGAGAAGGTCCTTTGTCATTTTCATCTTTGTTTAAAGGCAACGGTAACTGAAATGGAATAATTTACGTAACTGATTCTTTGGGAGGTTTTCTAGAGGCATCGAGATTTGAAGTCAGAGTATGATTTGCATATGTAGAGGGTAGATATTTCAATGAGATAAATTCTGGAAACAGCCATAAGATGTAAGAAAGCTTGGGTATATTATCTTGATTTAATTGGAAGTTTGGGGAGTAGTGACATATAGGGTTGGGGAAGTTGTGTTGGAAGTGGGACACCAAGGTCTAATTTAATGGGGTGGATAGCAGAGGGTTAGCTGAGGGTCTTTTTGTTTGTTCATTAAACTTGCTTATTTTGTTTCTCTCTCCGCAGAACTTTGGAGTGTTTATTAATTTTTTTGTATTAGTTTTGAAAACAATAATATTTAAGAAATACAAATTTTACATAAATGTATAAAATAGCTTGTCTAATTCCATAAGCTTAGCACAGTCTTTCATTTTTCCTTATTTTTCATCTGAGTATCTAATGTCCTTCAGGTTGGTTTTTTTTTTTCCGCCAAAACCTCCATCCTCAGGGAGGCCTTCCCTGGCTATCTTCATTCAAATAGTAACCCTACCCAAGCACTCTTCATTGCCTTTGCCTGCTTTTCTCCGTCCTAGTTATTGTTATATAATTGCACAGTGTATTTTACTAATTTGTCTTGTTGCTTATTGTCAGTCATTCCCTATTAGAGTGTATAAGTTCCGTGAAGCACTCAATAATATTTATTGTGAATGAGTACATCTTATAGAGTATTGTAGTTGCAGTACCTGCTCTATTGTATATTGTATTTTCACTTACTATTCTGTCAAATATTTCTGTATAATTGTCATGAATACCCTCTTTCATGGTTACATAAGAGTGTATAGAGTTAATGTAAAATCATGCCCTAAAGACATTTTGCTTTTATTTGTTTCTGTTGAATTAGTTGTTTTGGATGAATTCTCAGAAGTAGAATTGCACATTTAAAGGATGTAAGCATTTTTATGGTGCTTGTTCATAATAGGTGCTTGTTCATAATAGGTGCTTGGCTAGGAAAAGAGCATTTTTTTCCCTTCTCTTTTCAACAAATGCTTTTGAGGCTGTTAAGTGCATTATTCTAGGTTAAGCATGAGGCATAAGGTAAATACTTTAGGCCCTGTCCTTGAAGAAGTGTAACCTGGGACATTTACATATGGCAATAAAAGACAAATGAAATAAATCTCTACAGAGGTGTCAGGTCAGACAGGGAGAAGCAGAGAAACAATGCTTTGTAGGGGAGACCATAGCATTTCAATTGAGCTTTGAAGGATGAGTGGGGGAAACAGCAGGAGTTAGGGTACAGGGGTGTGACATTGCTCTATGTGCTGATGAGGCAACAACAAATGGACTGAAGTGTAGGGAGGGAAATGGAGATGGAGGGGTAGCTTGGGCCACTGCAAAGGCTTTAAATGCCTTGCTAACATGTTTGGATTTAATCTGTAACCAGTACAGGAAGGTGTTGATTCAAGGTTATGTTTCACTCCTGTTTAGCTGGGTAACCTCAGCTAAGTTACCTAACCTCTGACCCTGAGTTTTCTCATCTGTAAAATTGGAACATCACAGCTTTGGTAGACTATTACAAGGAATAAACAGATCTGGATATGAAGTGTTCAGTAGGGTGTTTGACACACAGTGGATGTTTAAAAATGATAATTCCTATTTCTAGTGGTTAATTTAAAAATGCACTTCTTACAGAATGAACAGCTATTTAAGATGTTTTCACAGTATACATGGTGCGAATTATTAGAGCACCAGACCCAAGGTTCAGGCATACAGAATGGGACAGAAGGTAGTTGTTTGTATTGAAAATAATTCAATAATGAATAAATAATAATAATACAAGAATAAATTTTCGTGTACTCACAACTGTAAACCTACTTTTGCCCTACCCTGTATATGTTTCCCAAAATGTTAAGTGATAGACATATATTTATTCCTGGGGACCAATCCATGCATGGATCAGCCACAACAGTCATTTATTAATGGGCATTTGGGTTCTTTCTTGTTTTGGGCTATGAACTAATAAAGCTATGAACATTTATATACAGGTTTTTCTATGGACACGTGCTTTCATTTTTCATTTTTCTTGGGTAAATACTTAGGAGTGGAATGGCTGGGTCATATGGTAGTCACATTCTTGATTTCTAAGAAACTGCCAAACTGTTTTCCTAAGTGGTTGTGCTGTTTTCCATTTCCACTGTCAGTGAAGGAGAATTCCAGTGCTGCATATCGTCACCAGTCATAGTTTTAGACATTCTAATAGGTATGTTGTGTTACCTCATTGTGATTTTAATGTCTGTTTCCCTAGGGACTAATGGCTCTGAACATATTTTCATGTGGTTACTTGCCAGTTGTTTTCTTTTTTGGGATAGGGTCTGTTCAGATATTTGCCCGTATTTTATGGGGTTGTTTCATTTTCTGTTAAGTCTGAGAGTACTTTATATAGTCTGCATACAAGTCCTTTATCAGATTATGTGACTTGTAAATATTTTGTTCATGTTGTGACTTGGCTTTTCATTTTCTTCACAGTGTCTCTCCAACAGCATAAGGTCTTAAATTCCAGTTTATGTTTTTTGTTTTTAATGAGTCTTTCAGCTGAACTCTTTTGGCATGAGTGTGTTATGTGCAATAAGTTAAAACATGCATTCGCTGCTAAATGAAAATTTCAGTTTAGTCTAGGAAAGGAAATTTAGAGGTGTCAGTGAATAATATATGCAAGTACGGATGGTATGAATGT